GTTTTATAACAGGGTCTTAGTTTTATAACGTGGGGAGTCTTAGTTTTATAACAGGGTCTTAGTTTTATAACGTGGGGGGTCTTAGTTTTATAACAGGGTCTTAGTTTTATAACGTGGGGGTCTTAGTTTTATAACAGGGTCTTAGTTTTACAACGTTGGGGGTCTTAGTTTTATAACAGGGTCTTAGTTTTATAATGTGGGGGGTCTTAGTTTTATAACAGGGTCTTAGTTTTATAACGTGGGGGGTCTTAGTTTTATAACAGGGTCTTAGTTTTATAACGTGGGGGGTCTTAGTTTTATAACAGGGTCTTAGTTTTATAACGTGGGGGGTCTTAGTTTTGTAGGTCTTAGGTCTTAGGTCTTAGTTTTGTAGACACCCGTTTCCAAATGTTTCATTCAACTATGCCATAAAGGAGATTGAAACTCCGTGTAAATGAATATTTCCTTTGTATTTTCTCTGCATGTTTTGCTGATCTTTTAACTGTTTTTCAGTACCTTAACTAAATGAAAATGTATAGCGAAATTAATTAAATACGCGCTGTGTTTTGAACTTTGTAAAGGATTTACATTTGTAAAATTGTGCTTCCCTGCCTTGGAAAGCCACGCCTTCTCTATCATCGCCTTCGGGACGCTATGCAAACGGTATACGTCATTCTCATAAAGTTTAAGGGCGGCAATACTTCAAGTATACGTATAGGACGGGATGCGTCCAAATGAAACACACAATGGAAGTTGTTCATAGCGTACACGTAAATCATTGAATGACGGGCATATCAGTAGTTCTACGATTGTTCACCGTGTTTATACGCCTATTTTTGTAATCATACATGGTCCACTGGCGGATCCAGATCCATCTTGCCCCCCCCCACCCACCTTGTGGGCCAAGAAAAACATCATAGGGCCCAAAAAATGTTTTGGTAAAAAATTACATAGGGCCTCATAAAAACCGAGCCTTTTTGGGAATGATTTGACAACCTAGGCCAAATTTTCAAAGAATGGGGGTTAAATTTTCTTCTGGATCCTCCAGTTTGGTCTAAGTTGTTAATTCGAAAAGGCCAAATAATTGCGATATTGAATGTGCAACTCATCACGGTACACCTCGCCCGACGAGTGACACGTGTTGGTAAAAGCTATCCAATCCTGCACATAGAACTCATGCATAATACAACAAGTTCTGGGATTGCAATTGTATAGTAGTTTAAGCCAATTTACTGACTGAATTACTCAGTTGGAGTAACATTCCCGGGGAAACTTTCCCGGGGACAGATAATAGTTCCCTCTATTGACCAAACTAGGTACTACACTTCACTCCACCTTTTGAAAATAACTAACTCATTTATGTGTAAAAATAAAATCAAATATTCTAACTGAGACATGATGATTTAATCATATTTCGATTTAATATTCAAAGTAGAATATAACGCCCAAGGTTCAGAATCTTAGTTCAGCCGGGAGCCCCCAGAAAACAAATAGGACTAACTCTAATATGATATTATCTCAAGAGACATAAAGCAGAAGTTTTCTAATTCAATTTCAGTGATCATTACTGTGGAGTCAATAATATTGATTTAGAAACCCCAGTTATGATTAGAGTCAGAAGGCTATAGGAGAGTTCTCAATGTAGAATCATGAACGCTATCATTATATCACAGATAACTGCTTTTAGAATACGCTAAGGAAAAAAACAAGTTTTTTATGAGACTCACAGGAGAAAGTTTTGATCATGAAGTTTGATTATAGATCTGTTGCCTTTTCTGATAAAAATGAAATATAATGATGTTGAAGACCACACTTATTTGAAGGGACAATTACAGTTTTTTTTATGATGTCACAACCAAAAATTGGTGACATATTGTTATGGTCTCCGTTTTTTTTGCGCTGGTCGGCAATTGGCAATTGGTAATTTGCAGTTGGCATCTGTAAGTCTTTAGACTGAAATCAATTTTTTTCAAAATCATCTACAGGTTTTCAGAAGTTCAAATCTGACTTTACATTTAAGATTTGACCTTCAATGACCTTTTCAAGGTAAAAAAAGGTTAAGTAGGTAAAAAAGGTATTTTTCAACTTGCTCAAAATCATCTACAAGTTCTCGAAAGTTCAAATGTGGCTATAGATTTGACCTTCAATGACCTTCTCAAGGTCAAGAAGGTCTTTTTTCATCTTGCTTCGAATTGACCAATTCTTTTTTTCAAAATCATCTACAAGTTCTCAGAAGTTCAAATCTGACTTTAGATTTGAGATTTCACCTTCAATGATCTTCTCAGGGTCAAAAAATGTATTTTTTCAACTTGCTTCAAATTGACCAATTAAATCATCTACAAGTTCTATTCAAATCTGACTTAAGATTGCATATTGCGATCAACTAGGTGGTGACATTTTGTCATATTAACGCCTTGTTTAAATTGTTACAATTTTAGGTTCTTTGTATACTTACTTTTTAAAAAATGTCAATGACTTCCCTGATATATTAAAAAAGGAAATTATTTGTAACTTTGCAATTGCCTATAAGATTTACATTTTATCATTCAAAAAATGCATTATATTTTGTAATAATGACAGCATGTTAAATTGTGACATCACTCCTCTAGGACAGTGCAACCTTTTGATATATTCCTGAATCTTAGAATCACAGAAGTATTGGTAGAAATATCTGATCAAATCTTAATATTATGAAATAGATATTTATAGCAATAGACACTATATTAATAGCTATCTTTGAAAAAATTCATCAGCATCGCATATCCAGTTGAAGTTCTTTCCACCAGTATCCAATAATTAACAATAAATCTACTCATTTATTTGATTTACAGCATCTTTTCAAGGTGGAATAGGTTTTATGGTTTATTATTCTGGTATTGCCAAGTGAAATGCAAAACAATAAAAGTAAAAGTTCTCGATCACCCTGGTTACGAAATACACCAGTGTGATGTACCTCTCTATATGAATTTAATATTTACAAATGCTTGATTTGAATAGCATCTATCTGTTGTTTTTGTGTTTATTGAATTATGACTCGACACTTCCGACATATGCCTGGGTCACATTTGCTCCGATTGCAGTATTTTGTTCAAAACTGATTTCAACTTGCTACAAATTGACCAAACCTTTTTTAGAATCATGTACAAGTTCTACAAGCAAATGTGTATAAGCAAATGTGACATAGGCATTATGAATGAATGTGACTGGAATAAATTAAAAAATGAGTTCAAGCATACATGCTACAGGACATCATTGTCATCACTCATGCATGTTAAATATATAAGCTTGAATAATTGAAGCTTAAAAGTGGTCACTCTGAGAATAGCTTGATCCCATGAATGTATTATAGCAAGTTATATAATTACTTTGTAACTACTTTGACTGATCATAGGGAATTAAACACTGACATGTCTAAGTATTCTTCAGGCAGAATAGAATGAATGATGTCGCTAATTAACTTGACCCTTTATTGCATGGACTCTTGTTGGAATGTAGCTAAAATATACTAAAAAAATCCAATAAGTGTTTACATAATATACCACATGTTGAATGCCCTTGGGTTTGGGCATTATATCAAAAGGCATTGTACCGAAAAATATTATACCAAAATCCATAATATTCCATATATACATATATTTGAATTTATATAGGTTAATTTTTGATTTTCATTCTAGAGTCGTGTCTTATCTTTTAAAGTCTACTTTTCAAGCCAAATCATTTGGTGAATTCTCGAAATCGTTGTTCCCTCTTCAAAAGAGGAGACGCGAAAATCTTTCCTTATAAGGTCAAAATATTTCCCATGATGCAGTTCGCGGAGGAACAAATTTATACTTCCTTGTTTTCCCTCATAGGTTTAACATGGGGATTTTCACACCTATTTTTCAAACGATATATTCGTTCATATTCCCGTACGAGAGTACAGAAAAAATTATTAGAAACGATTGATCTCTTATTAATCTTAATATAACAGCTATTTTTTTTCATTGTATTGATTCATAGCGTGGTGAAAACGACGATTGAAAAGTGAGAAAATATTCCGGAAGAGAAGGTCACGTGATCAGTTGACTAGTCGCCATATTGGAAAAAACAATTCCATTCGACTTTCAATACTTTCGATGCCAATCTTACCGCATTACAAACTGCAACATCGATGCAACAACTGAATAAAAGTATTCATCTTCAAATTACATTATAGAGTTACGTTGAAAACCCACAAACAACTGAGCAGTAGACCAAAGAAGACGCGTTGCTATTATCTAGGTCAATCTGTTCTGTGGTCCGAAAGCAAATCTATAGTACTCGTTTCCGAATTTTGTTGTTCATTGTACAATCTTTTATTGATTAAACTCGGTATACTGACTATTAAAGCAATGACAAAGAAGAATATTTCCGATGGTGTCATTGTTTTATTTAGCTTGCGGGTGTAAAAACAAAATTGCGTAATTAGTTTGATTTAGAACTTTCGGGTCACGCAAATAGCTACGCGAAATGCATAGTGGGAAAATATTGACCAATCAAATTTTGTCCTTTTTGAGTGCTTTTTCAGAACATATTTGCGAACGTTCTGATTCAAAGAGCGAACCGCGAAAGGGAGAATTGATCTGAAATTTTTAGGGATGTTTTTTGGTATGAAAGTTTAGAGCTGCTTAGTTTTTGGTCATTCTGCGTAGATGTTAAGGTGGCCTGTGATTTTGGACTTTACGTTTCAAAAAATTGTCTGTTCTATTCAATTGCAACACTGTTCACTCTGTACAAGAGATGATGCATCTACAAATGAGACATTAGATTGGAAATTGTACTTTATGTCAGGCAAATGCCCCTGCTATAATGAAGACCTCCATAGATCATATGTGGAATAAACAGGTCCAAAAATAAGCCAACTTGGGCAATAAATACATGAAAAACTATTTTAGTTTCAAGCGTGCTTTTATCAGGTACAATGTATTATTCGTCCACGAAATGAAGTTCTATAACGATCTCACTAAGGCCACCTTAACTTATGAAACCTTCTATTGTTTCAGGTTTAGGCTGGGGCATGGTGCTTGTATCAGGTATCGTGTGTGTCTACTATAATGTTATCATCACCTGGTGTCTCTACTATCTCATCATGTCCTTTACCTCCAAGCTCCCCTGGGGCTCTTGTGACAACAGCTGGAACACCGACTTGTGTGCCACTTCTACAGGGAACAAGACAGAATTTACAAATATGACTATTAGTAACGTCACTGATCAGTCGAGTGTGTACAGCATGGTGACAGCAGTTACTGAAATGACGGGGAACTTCACAAATGTAACAATGGGAAATGTAACAGAAGTTAAAAAGATGACATCCGCTGAGGAATATTGGCAGTGAGTATTACTGTACATGATTATATATTTGACGGTTTTAAATTTTAGTTATTCTGGTGTATCATTTAAGTACAATGCATGACATCTATCAATCTGTATTAATCCACCATACATAAATGCATTGATTATGCACATTGAACAACTCACAGAGCCTTCATTGCTTTTCACTTGACAAGCAATGAAGTTATTATGTTACCATCAAAGTGGTGACATGTGATGACTGATGTTTTTTTGTGATGGCAGTTAGTGTCTGTAATGGTGGTTGGTGTCCATGTTTGGTGTTCTTACAACTTCCAATAACTTAACAAATACTGTGTGGACTTCATATTTCTTCATGTTTTTCAAAATCATCTACAAGTTCCAAGAAGTTTTTAGACTTTTGATTTGAGATGTGACCTTCACGCATGACCTTCTAAAGGTAAAAAAAGGTCAAAAAGCCAGTTACCATAAGCTAGCTCCTTTTGTCACATGCTAGGATTGAACCCAGGACCTTGGCATCAGAAGTCCAGAGTGCTAACTTTTACATCACAGAGCCAAAGACTTTACATTTCAGATTTGAGCTTAAATGACCATCTCAAGGTCAAAATGGTCTTTTTTCAACTTGTCTCAAATTGACCAATCTTTTATCAAAAACATCCACAAGTTCTCAGACTAGTCTCTCTGACTAAGCTTGTATTCGCCAATGCAAATAGTGGCTAACGGATTAACCTATTAATTAATTTATTAACAGTAATCAGTGGTCACATGACTTTTTTATGCCTATGAAAGGATCGATTATAATAAAGCCGCTCGGTCAAATTTGCAAACAAAACATTGGACATTGTTACATGCTGCTAAATAGGCAGATGAACTGGTTATTTAGGCCAATTACCGGGTCTGAAGTGAGAGGTGGTAGCTAACGGGAATCACGACAGGTACTATTCATATTTAAATGAGTTTGCCTTCAAACTGCAATCAACCCGATAGCCAGTAGCCATTATTTGCATTCGCGAATACAAGCTAAGACTGAATTCATAATATTGTGAGCAACTAGGTGTTGTCATTTTGTCATGTTAATGCCTTGTAAAAAAATGTGACATTATATTACGCACCCTAATGTGTACCTTGTTTTAACTGATGATTACATGGCCTTTTAGTCAGTTGAAAATCCATTTGCACCCTGTTCAATTGAAAAAGAAACAAGAGGAAAATTTCTGTGGAAGACACTTGTGTGCCAAGAACACCATTGGGTATATTCCACTTTTACAGAAAAGTACAATATCAGAGAAAATTGAATATGCTTTAATAAGATGGAGATAGATCCCTCAGATTGAATAACATGGCAACTTGCAAAATGTCCCAGTTACACCTCTTGATAATACAAATAAAAATATTTCCATTTTAGATATAACACTCTTGAGATGACAAAGAGCATGAATGAACTTGGTGGGATCAGATGGCAGCTTCTGCTGTGCCTGGTACTATCTTGGGTACTTGTCTTTGTATGTCTTTGCAAGGGTGTCAAATCATCAGGCAAGGTAAGCATTCAATCAATTTGAATTCTCATATTTTGTATTCAGAGCCCTATGTTCAGAGGTTTGAAGGTCTGTGTTCAGGGAGACCTTTGTTCAGCTCCCTGTGTTCCATGGTGTGAAGACCTATGGAGGAAAGTGATGTATGTAGAAGATTTAGTTCAGAGATGCATAGGCCTAAGTTCAGAGATGCATAGGCCTAAGTTCAGAGAATCAGAGGTCTATGTTGAGAAATGAGGGACTGTGTTCAGAGGTGTTTAGGCCTGGGTTCAGAGATTTATAGGCCTAAGTTCAGAAGTGCAGAGTTCTATGTTCAGAGGTGTAGAGACCTTTGTTCATATCTTCATCTTGGTTCAGAACTTCAGCTGGGATCAGAGGTATAAAGACTCTGTGTTCAGAGGTTTGAAAACCTTTTGTGTAGAGGTTTGGAGGCCTGAGTTTAGAAGAGTAGAGACCTATATTCATATTGAAAGGGTCTCTATACAGAGATGAATATGATAATAAAAAAGTACCATATTTTGCATATGAACATGTTTAAATGAGCAGAAAATATTTTATATTTTATATCATAAAATCTATAGAAACGTACACATGTTCTTTGGAAATAAAAAGGGCTCAAAATTTGCTTTTATTTGTCAAAGTAGTTATTTGTCACCAGACTTGAAAAAGAAATTGCTTCTAATTTCACCGGTGGGGATCTGTGCTGTCTTGTAAAACACTGGACTCTCTTGAAAATACAAGATAATACCTCTGATTATACCCTTCTAAATTTTTTAACCATTTTTTACTTTCATTTACCTACGGAATGAAATTCTGAACAATGTTAATTTCTAAACCAACATTACATTCTAAGTCATAAAAATTGTTGTAAAAGGTTGTTATTTTGGCACTGAGCAAAAGTGTCTTATGAATATATAATGTCTTATATTTTCCAGGTGGTCTATGTAACTGCAACTGCCCCCTATATCTTTCTAGTCATCCTCCTCATTAGAGGCCTATTATTGCCAGGAGCCATGGATGGAATAAAGTTTTATGTCACTCCAGATTTCAAAAGACTACTTGACTACAAGGTAAAGTATGTTATAAAAGAAATATATACTAATATAAATATTGTAGATTTCCAGTACAGTAAAACCTGAATATACAGACACTTCTCTGATCAGAACACCTCCTGGTGTGAACACTTTCTCAGCCCTAAATTTGTTATCTCCCATCAACTCACATACTAGAAACCTTGAAATGTGAACACCTGCTAATCTGAACACTTTTGACTGGTTCCAGTGCATGGTGTTTGGATTAGACAGGTTTTATAGTACATTTAAATATAAGATATATAGAGGATATCCTATGATTTTTGAGGGATACCATTTTTATCCATGAGTGGATATCGCTCATCTCCACAAGTGAGCGCAGCGAATGAGTGGAGATCGGCGATGTCCAAGAGTGGATAAAAATGATAGCCGAGAAAATCATAGGATATCATATTTATCCAATGGTCGCTATTTTTGTATGGACTTCAAATAATTTGACCTAAAGTTGTTGTTTTCTAATTCTATTCTATTTTTTTCATTTTATTTTCTGTGACCTTATTTTTATAAAATGATTGCATGAAAAAATGTAACTCATTTTTCCTGAGCATATAACCTTGGAACTTTTCAGATTTTTTCCAAATATTTTTTCAATTTTTTCCAAATTTTTTTTTATTCCTATAATTTTATTTTCAAATTTTTTTCCGAATTAATTTTCAATTTTTTCCTCAAAATTTCAAATTTTTCAAATATATTTTTTCAAAATATTTTTTGAAATAGTATCCGTTGGATACGATTGGATATCACGTCATATGGATCGGATACGATTTTAGTAGCGTATATGAAAATTATCCTGTGTTGGTATCCCCATATATGTTTAGTATCCATTGGATAAATTAGGGTATGCAGTGAAATGCATATTTAAAAATCTGAAATATTAGAATGATATTGGCTTTTGTCCTCATGCATATTCACTTTGATTTGTCAACCTAACCTTTCCCATTGGACAGGATCATGATACTATAGTAAAATGAGAGGTGTTTGCACCAACTTTCTGTTATACTGACCCAATTTAAGCTTCATTTTATAATGCAGTTCATATATATTCGACAGCTGCTCAATATTAGTTCTACATTACAGCCTGAGGTTCTTCTATAATGCATTTATGAATTTACAGTTATGAAGAAAAGAAATTTACATTTTCCCCATTATTAATATCAAATGTGGTTCAAGCCAGTTCCTTAATGATGATTACCTGTTATAACTTTTGTCAAAATGTCCATTATTGTCACTGGTGTCATTGTCAATTCACTGATATGAATTGGTAGTAATTATTGTCAGACTTATTACAATGAATATGGAATTATTTAATACCAAGCATTTTTCTATGATTTATTCCTATTGTTCTCTTTGTAATGATTCTAGTTCTAGACTAATATATGGGATAATGTGGTTCTCCAATTTCATATCTGGTCACCCTGCTCTTTATAATCTCAGAAATACTTCACAGTTTTTTGTGATAGATATCACACAAAAATAAATTGCTCGTTTATAGATAAGCTCACACATTGCTTATGTACTGTATGAGTCTTCACTTTGTATTTGTGTTTGCAGAAAGATGAAAATAGATGCGAAGTTAAATAGCTTAAATTCTACTGCCAATATTGTTGGATTATATAGAACAAAGATGTATTGACTCTCACTCAGTATTGAAAGACATGTCTCACTCTTTTATTTGCATTTTGAATGGAAGTTCACAAAATATTCATGCAGATATTACATGGAAATGAATAAAATGCATTTTAAGGGACCAAATCACAGATGGATTGTCCATTAGTTAAGAAATACATTTACTCTATTTAACCAATATTAAAAGGTGTGGGTGGTAGTATCTTGAGAATGAAATATTCATTTAGAATTAAAATTATTATGTTGACAATTCCCAATGTGTGTATACATGCATCTCTGTGTTATAACAACCATTTGTTTGTGTTTAGGTGTGGGTAGAGGCTTGCCTACAAATATTCTACTCCCTGGGTCCTGCCTGGGGTGGCCTAATCACAATGTCAAGCTACAACAAGTTCCACAATAATGTATACAGGTACAGACTTTAATATATCTAACATAGAGGCTACGAGGTTTTAGATATGGGGTTTATCCCAAGAGAAATATGTGTCTCTTCCTCAGTCCCTGTGGTGGAGATACATATATTTCACTCAGGATAAACCCTGTGTTTAAAACGGGACATGCATTGTACAATGGAGATGTATCCCATACCTAGTATGGTTCACTTTCATTGCCTGACATGTTGAAATGTATTAACAAACATAAATTGAGTCTGCTAAAATGGATCAGTACTCATATTTCTCTATGAGTGCAAGATATCAGAGATAGTGGGACTGATACAGAAAATATCTGACACACTCTGGCTACTACACTAGTCTAGAATCTACATGCATTACATCATGTTACCTGCTTATACAATACGTACAATATTATATGTTGTATGATATATGCTACATGTAATATTGGAGAAACAAAAGATAAGATATTACAAAAAAAACATGTAAAACATAACAACTAGAAATGTGACTTATAAACTTAGCATAGTTTTCACTATTTTTCACTACAATTTGTGTCATTTTGTTTTTTCGCCATCTTTCTTTCACATAGAAAAACATTATTGTAAACTTGTTTGTAAAATATCTCATCTCTACAATCAAATATGCATCATAATAGGCTATCCTTTGGTTTCAAAGGTTAGTTGTAATTTCATATGTTAGTCGTAGAAAAGTATCAAGAATCCAAAATGGTAGTGAAGCACAGAAATGTTTTTCTATTTATTTTAGGGATGCCATATTCGTACCTTGTGTAAACTGTGGCTCCAGTTTCTTTGCTGGTTTTGTCATATTCAGTGTCCTGGGCTTTATGGCCAAAGAATCTGGGCTAAATGTTAAAGATGTTGTAAAACCAGGTAAGAGTAATCAATCAACCGTGGAATACTTTTTGCCTTTGATAAATGCTCATGAATTTTTATAATTTACAGCTACTGCAGTTAATGCTTGTCATAAGAATTGATTATCAAATTAATATTGATCATATCTATGTAAGCTATTGTAGATTCCAAAAAGTATGTTTTTGTCTAAATGTATATAAGCACTGTACATTTATATTTTCAATGTAAATAATGTTTTGATGTTTTTGTATTATCTTTATACTGTACATGTACTTTTAATTTTAACCCTCTGTGTATGTTTATATACTGTTCAAAAATATGTGAAAACCTATACAGTGACCCATATGTCAGAGAGACTTACATAAAAATGGTCAATAAAAGACATATACGTGTGTGTTAACATCCTCATGGTAGAACTTGAATGTTAACTCTACAGTTGTTTGACTTATGTTCTATTCATAGTTTTGAACAGACAAAAACAAACGTAATTTAATTATTCAATTAATCAACATAATTTATTGATATGTTCCAAAAATATGCTCCGAACCTGTGGCTTCCAACTTTAATGGAGCTAGTTAACTTGTATGACAAAATGAACAGATCTGTTTCTTTTCAATTTTTAATGCAGTTTCAGTATGTTTGCTGATCAGTTCAGATGATTGATTACAGATCACTGATTAGAACAAATGAAGATTAAAGATCTAGAAACCCCATGCATGTTAAGATTTACTCTTTTTTACAATATTGTCTTGTTCTAAGTATTCTGAGATAAATCTGAACTTTCTCCATAAATTCTAATCATAATACATTGGTTTGTTTTATCTACATTTTTCGAAGTCCTCAAAATCCTTTGATTGTACAATTGAAAATTAATTGAGAAAATAATCTGAAAATTACACATAGATTTTATACTAAATGAATTGTAGAATGTACAGATTCATGGTCTAAAATGTATGTATGTCGTTCTATAATTTACCAATTGCAAAAGTTCACCATAAAAAATGAACTCACTGATATTAATGTGTGGGTATATTCATGCGGATTATAGGTCCTGGATTAGCATTCTCTGCCTACCCACAGGCAATCACAAAGCTCCCCATATCCCCCCTCTGGGCCGTCATGTTCTTCTTCATGTTATTAACCCTGGGGCTGGATACACAGGCAAGTATTCCATACCGCATGTTCCCCAGTCTACTCATAGAGGCATGTCATGGGTTAATAGTTTAGTACCCAGCCAGTCTAACACTTGATTGTGGAATAATATTTAACCAATAAGCTCATGTGTCAGATCATTGAGATTGAAAATTGTGGTCAAGGTTAGACTTTTTAGAATTTGATTTGTAAATTGTAGTACTTTGCAAAATAGACCATGGTTGTTATACTGTATTATATCATTCATGATTTGAAAATGCAGAACATATATGGCTGGTTTGAAAGCAGCCTTATTATAATGGTCTATTTCAGAAAGGAGAAAAGCTGCTTGATTAAAAGATTTAATCTTGCATTTTGCATTTGTTTGTTTAATAGCTTTATTATCCCAACGAACGAAGTTCGGTAGGGATATAGTGAAGCGTCCGTCCGTCCGGAAGATAACTCAAATACTAGTTGACGGATTTTCTTCATATTTAGTGGAATGATGTATATTGGTGAATAGTTTTACGCAAAAAATTTTTTTTCCAAGATGGCCGCCACTTTAAAAATGACGGGACTTTTTCGCAAAAATCATAAATTTTTCATTCTAAACTAAAGTAATTAATATTATTGTTTGAAATTTTGGTAGTATATTCGCAACATCTATCTATTTCACATATATTCCGTGTTTGTCATCCTGACCCCCAGGGGCCGTGTATGGGGGGTCAGGAAAACAGAAATTTTTGCTAATTTTTAGATCTTTCTGAAGTATAGCTTTATTATACTCAAATGAAAGGCAATTAAGAGTAGATTGCAAATATTATATCTTTTTTCTGATTCGAGCCTCGTAAAATTCAAAATGGCCTTCTAATGTACGATTTCGCAATAATTTTTCGATCCCTTCAAAGTATGGTTAATATATTATACTCAAATTGAAGGAATTTTGGAGTAGATCAAAATTATGGTATTATTTTTCAGATTTGTACCTCAGAAAATTCAAAATGGCTGCTTTGCAGGAATTCGCAATTCTAAAATCTAAATTTTTCAATTTTAAACAAAGTAATGAGTATAATTGATTGGAATTCGATAATTGATATTTTGTTCGTTGGGATTTGCTACTCCGTGGAGTTGCCATTATCTAGTTAGTTTATATCTGTCGCTGTGTTTGCTACATGTGGTGTAGTTTATTTTCGTTTTGAACAACCAGGAAAAAAAAGCTCACACTGTAGTTGTATCACTGTAATTTATTTTTGGTTTTTATTTTTGCTTAATAAATGGTCAATGCCTATAACATTTATTTATTGAAGATCAGAAAAATACTAAAAGAGATTTTATCAGGGTGGTCTGTTAGTTTTGTTTTCCAAAACATTCAATCTGTTCTCACTTCCCCTGTGCAGCTTTCTATTGCGGAGCAGATTTCAGGTTTTCTTCCCAGATTTATGCAGAAACCTGTCCAAATTGACTTAGTTTGTGTATTGGACTGAAAAAAGTAATTTTCTTCCAGGCCCTGCCCTTGCATTTGGTGCATACCCATATGTTCTGACAAAACTACCAATTGCCCCATTTTGGTCAATTCTTTTTTTTCTGACCATCTTATCAGTTGGTGCTGATACCCAGGTAGGAATGCACAGATCTGGTATAACAATACATACACTTCAAAGAAACACTAACAATTGGCAATCAGGAAGTGATGTCATCGACTCTCAACTTTGCATATAACATTAGGCAAGGAGCTATTAGGATTACTAAACCAGCTGAATATTTTTTTCAATTTGGTCTATGATTAAAATCCTTTTGATGGTCTCTTCTTTAGTTCTAAGTTGACGACTCCTGAAAATATTTTTACACAGAAGATAAGAGCTTCTTGTTTAGAAGTGATTTTGTACTTCTTTCCTATACTGTAATAGACAAGGTTATAACAGGTGAGAGTCGATGACATCACTTCCTGAAAGAAATCTGAAAAGATGGCAGCTTACTGGGAATTAGTACTACATTTTTAAATGTTCAATATTGACCATATGAAATCGTTTTCCCGCGTTTTGCTAAATATGTAAAGTATATATATGATTGTAGCTACCATATCAGGAGAGAGATAGTCTGGCAAGGAATGTTCCTTTAAGTTGAGCAAATGAGGGTCAACAAAGATTGAATAAAGCTATTTGTCACAGGGTTTTAATACACCATTAGAAAAGGGAAGGTGTTAGGAAGGATATTATTACAAAAGTCAGCTTCACCTTTCAAATGGTATATAAGAACCTAGGACAAATTGAGTAATTTTTTTCTCATGGACTTAAGTTTTTATGTCAGTGGTTGGCGGTTGGTGGTTGACGATCGGCGTCTTTGACAAATTCTTGCAACTTCCAATAACTTAACAATTACTGTTTAGACTGACTTCAATTTTTTTTCAAAATCATCTACCGTATTTGCCGTGATTGGTGCCCGGGCGCTTAAAGTAAGTCAAAACAGTTCAAAAAGTTCTCCTTATTAGCGCCCATATGAGTCCCGATGAGAAAAATGCCGGAGTTTCAGTTTCAGTTTAGAAAAAAATTGGAAAAAAAATTTGTTTCATGAAATTCGCCATGTTTGCATGAATCGTAGGGTTCTTGCCTATCCTACTCTTTTCGGAACACTAGTGGAATATAAAACATGTACTTACATCAGTATTTTACTCGATAATTCGATAGGAAAACGATATAAACCCACGGAATCGAATACTTCCGTTTCAATTTCTTCTCAGCCTCGTTTTGAAATTTTCAACACAAACTGAACGAGGTGGCAAGATTACAGGGAAAATCACCGGTAAACATCAAAATATTGGATATATACTTGAGTTACCAACATTATATACATTTTATGGTGAAAAGAATGTCATATTCAAGCTGGAATACCTTTTGGAAAAGGTATATGTTTTTAGAAGTTCAAATCTGACTTATATTTAAGATTTGACCTTCAATGACCTTTTCAAGATCAAAAAAAGTCAAAAAGTTTTTTTTTAACTTGCTTCAAATTGACATTTTTTTCAAAATCATCTGCAAGTTATCAGTAGTTCAAATCTGACTTTTAATTTGAGATTTGACCTTCAATGACCTTATCAAGGTCAAAAAAGGGCTTTGTATAAAAACCTCATACCTTATACCCACCTACCCACGTATGTGGGACATGATACAGTCTTTGAAGGGTTCAATTTTGAAGATCTTAGTTTATTAAAGATGCATTTGTAACGACCCTTGATAGCAAGTTGCTACTACATCCCAGCTGGGTTCGATTCCCACTCGGGGCATCAAATTTAGCACATTTTTTTCAGTTTCTTTATCTTGCTTGTTGGACCTATGCTTGAGTCGTTAGTTATTTATTCCCCTGGGACACCCTCGGGTCATTACACATTTAAATGCATCCATATTCCTTTATTTATGGATCTGTCTAGTCATAAAATAAAGCCTGAATTGTAGAAATGTTGATAATTTGAGCTATTTTGAGATTTAATAGTCTTTAAAATTGAACCCTTCAATGACTGTATCATGTTCCATGTAGGTGGGTATGAGGTAGGAGCCCGAAAAGGTCAAAAAGGTCTTTTTTCAACTTGCTTCAAATTGACCAATTTTTTTTTCAAAATCATCTACAAGTTCTCAACAGTTCAAATCTAACTATAGATTTGACCTTCAATGACATTCTCAAGGTCAAAAAGGTATTTTTTCATCTTGCTTCATTTTGACCAACTTTTTTTTTCAAAATTATCTACAAGTTCTTAGAAGTTCAAATCTGACTTCTGAGATTTCACCTTCAATGACCTTCTCAGTTTCAAAAAAGATTTGACCTTCAATGACCTTCTCAAGGTTAAAAAAGGTCAAAAAGGTCTTTTTTCAACTTGCTTCAAATTGACCAATTTTTTTTCAAAAATCATCTACAAGTTCTCAGAAATTCAAATCTGACTTAAGATTGAACTATTGTGAGCATCTAGGTGGTGACATTTTGTTATGTTAATGCCTTGTTTAGGTCTTTGGGAGATCAACTATTTATTCATTTCCAGGCAGCAAGTTTACAGGAGTTTTCATTTCTCATATGACCAAATCGGATTCAGCCATCTTTACTTATGCATGTACCTAACTTTCAATCTATGAAGTCACATTGCAATATATTGTGACTCTTGGTAGTGTCCCTTGAAGCTGAATGCAACTTGAAACACTTTTGAGTCAATTTATAGTGCAGTCACTTACATGACCTTTATGTCTCACACTCTTTCAGTACATTTTGAACTCACATGATTATTATATCCAGTATTATCCCATTCAAGGAGTTTTGTTATGCATATCCATGTATATTCAAATATATTAATTGCAGGACCTGGTTTAGCATTTGCAGCATACCCGTTGGCACTTACTACATTACCCATCTCACCTTTTTGGTCAATAATGTTCTTTGTAATGCTCTTGACTCTTGGTCTTGATACCCAAGTGAGTATTTGAACCTTGTTTGGTAAGTGAGGGCATAAGTGAGTTCATTTAGCTAAGTCCACAACCTATACATGATTTTGTGTTTGCACTGTTGGATTCACTGTTCCGTTCTCAGGCCCGTAGCCAGGGCGGGTTTGGGGGGTTTGAGCAAACTCCCCTCCAGGCCAAAAAATTCTTTCAAAATCAAGCAGTTTTTTCCCCATTCTGAGCACTTTTCAAGTGATTTTGGCCATTTTTAGGACAAAGTTGTCAAAAATGTTCCCCCCTTTGCAAAAGCTGGTTATTGGGCTGATTCTTCAGCTAAATCTGTATGATAAATTAATAATTTTGATTAATTTATGATTTAATTTAATGACGAGTCCATATGATAATTACAGGACTTACGAACAATGGTGCCACTCATTATATCCCCAATGAATTTTTACTGTAATTCCATTTTTAGTATATTGTTAGAAAAACTATTGTCTTATGCTAAAACCTGTGTCTTTGCAATATATTCGTTTGTTAGGATAAAAAGATACAAGGAATTCCTGTAGGATTGATTGATAGGATTTAGAATATCATTTTGAAAAACATTGA